AGGTCTTTATGAACAACAGGATTGACTCCACAATCAACTGAGGTGTGCTAGGAATGTCACCTGTATCTTACGAAGAAGAGTTTCTAGGTAAGAAATGAAAGACTGGAGGATTATCTCTTCCAGGACAGAAAACGGAAATGAGCAAAACAGTTCTTTCTGTTAACAAACAGATTCTAAAATTACTTATTTCCGATTTCTCTGCAGTCTCCCTTTCTGTACAAGTGGTTATGTTACTGCATCTCAAGTTTTGATTTTGCTCAGTTTCAGAGTCTAAACGAGTTTCTGTCTTGTAACAGTTTATGGGGATGCCGAAGACAATGCCTGCATGTATTTCACCAGTCAGTCTTGTCTTCTGCCGAGTACTCAGGAATCTCTGTGAAAATGTTGTGGAATTGCCCCCTTCATCTGTTGAGGAAACACATGGTCAAGAGCAGAAGCAATCATTTAAAATTCCTCAAAGACATTTTGATTAACAAACATCCTGTTAGATGGGCTGGGTCAAATTTAGTCCTGCTGTAAACCAATGCAACAGTGTCTGGAGGGATCTGACTTACGTCCTCTGGGTACTTATTAGACTCCATTTGCTCAGATAAATGATCTCAGTCAAAACTATTTTCATCTGGGAGATTTCTTTATGAAATCAGGAAATTATCTTTTGTGGGGGGGTTCACAGCTTTAATTCCAAGCCTATCAAACTCAACACAGGTTCTCCTGTTGCCATAGGCTGTACAGGATGCTGTCATTTCTCATGATTTTCATCTGTTTATTCCCTGCAGATCTTTCATAAATTTCTAAAAGAAACTCATCTGCCAGTTTGTTCAGGAAGGAGTCAAACCAACAAAATAATCTGAACATAATGGAATAACTTAGGAGCCAAGGAAACAGGGTACCTTTTGATCCTACCATGGGCTCCCCACATGACATTGGACGAGTCACTTTTATCTGGGTTTATTCCACCCAATTCTTGATGTCTCTGTGGAATTCCTATGAGAGAAGCACTGTCTTAATTGGGAAGATGGGTTGCTTTGAGGGCCAGTGAAGAGAGCTAGGAGCCTGAATAGATCACCCTCCTATATTGCATGTACAGAAGAAGAAAGTTCTGAAGAGTCCAGGCTTTGACTTTCCTGTGGGTTTATTTCTCATTTCTGTATGAGGTACTTAGTATTCAGTCCGCATAATGATATGGTGAAGACAAATGTTAAAAATAGTGAAGCAGTAGGATCCATCCTTCTATCCCAGTTAGATAGGTGGATGGCTGCATAAGCTTCAGGAAAATCTGAAGTCTGGTTTGAATGCTGACAGAGAAGTTGTTCCAGGTCTTTTAAAGCATGCAAGATTTCCTTATATTTCTGAATATTAATGTCTGTGGAATGATGGCAAAATGATGATCAAAGGTCAGAAGAAAGAATATCTCCCACTACAAGCTATGCTCTTCTTTGGGAAAAACAGACAAACAAACAAACAAACAAACAAACAAACAAAAAACCCAAAGCTTTGAGATTTGAATCTGTTATTAAATTCAAAAGTCCACATTTTGGATGATTTTTGGAACTGAGTGTTTTTGCAAAATGTTCATGTTTACATTTCACCTTGACTTGTGTTATCTTCCATCATGAAATGTAGGCTTTAGAGCACAGCTACAACCTTGCTGCACTCCATGCTGTTATGAGCCTTTGATCACTTTAATCACTGTACTTAAGAATAGCTTGATCTATTTTTTTCTGCTAAATTGACATTCTACAAGGCAAGAAGGTAATTAGCGATGTCTACTCTGCTGAAATAATACAGCATCTCACTTGTTCCCTCATGAGCTGTACAGCTTGGCTATAGCCATTGTTAGACATAAAAAAAGCTTCCTTCTTCTTAAAGAACAAGAAATAAAAGACAACTTTGTGTAAGCTTATTAAACACTGCGTTCACGTTCCAGCATAGATGTGTCTCTTGAAACACAAGCAAAGAGTTCTAGCTTTCCTTTGCCCTGGGAGGCCTGGATGCTGGAGTAGCCCATGCACTCCTCATCTGTACTTCTCATTTGGCTCAGGGCTCAAGCACATGGCTAAAAACTAAGCTTTCTTGTTTGGGGCATTGCTTTGCATCCCTAAGATGCTTTAAGCAGGATGTTCCGCTTTTACTGCTTGATCTTATCTGAGTCATTTAAATACAAAGAATCTGAATATTATGTAATGACCTGATTTGTGTGTGCTTTCATAAAAGATCAGATCCGCACACCAGAGTGGCAGTGCTTTCACTCTCCCCAGAGGACTCTCTAGCTGATTTGGCAGTGTTACACTGCAGAATGACTCTGCCCCTTGAGCAGCAAGCCCATCCTTTTTACATAAACCAGCCGAGAAAGCAAAGAGGTGAGAGGTGTCCATCTTGAAACATCTCAGGTCCATCTCAGAGAAGGGTTAACACATATTTATTTATGTATTTATATATCTTATTTATTTATGTAATAAATTTCCAAACTTCATGCTTTAGGAGTGGAATAGGTTTGTTTTAGAAGCGGAATAGCTGCCTCTGTTCATATAAATGCCACCGCCTCCCCAGTGGGTGGGAAGAGTCATAGAATCATACGGGTTGGAAGGGATTTCTGGATATCATCGAGTTCAACCCCCAAAGAGCCTCCCTCAAGTGCAGCATGCACAGCTCTTCGGAGCATCTCAGGGCTGCATTATTACATTTGCAACTGCTCCCACAACAAGCTGATGCCAGCAGGGAGGGAGAGGACACACAGAGCTGCTCACAGTGCTGTGACCTGCACTCCCTGGCCTGTTCTGCTTGTCTATTAAGGAACAAAATTAGGATCACCAGTTGTCACTGCATAGGGTCTGCCAAAGTGCTGGCTTCTGGAAGTCGTGGGATGAACTGGTGGTTAGGCCACATATTGTGTTGAAAATGAACGGCTCACAGGCCCCTACCCCTCAAGTAATAAATGGTATTGTCTGCATTAGAATGTCCTCCACCAGCAAAACTGTTAGTCTTCCATTAGAAGGACAGGAATCAGTTGGCTGCATGTGGATGGACAGAAAGTATGAGTTTCTCCTAATTCAAGAGCTGCTGAGATGCTTGATCCTCTTCTACAGAAACTGCTTCTTTCAAAGATGACAGGATCTAGGCCATAAGTAAGTGAAGAGGTGAAAGAAATCAGTCTCTTTTATCAAATAAACGTGTGACTGGAAGCATGTGTCTAAGACAGTGATGCATTTCTTTTTAGGCACAAAAATTAACAGTCCATCAAGAATCTGCATTTCTACACTGCAGTGAAATCCTGAGGAGCTGATGTCTTTTCCATGGTCAGACAATCTGGTTGCTGAGCTGGTGGCTGCAGCAGTGTTCTGTGCTTCTGCAGGCATTCCCCACAACAGCAGTCTCCTCCTCCTCCCTTTGCTCCTATCAGCCAGGCTCCAGTGAGAGCTACATCCACAGCACCCCAATACTTAGCCTCTCAATACCTGAAATGGTAATAGCACTGTTTTGGTTTTATTTCCCAGACAGAAGACTGTGCTGTTTCTGGCTCCTTGCTGCAATAAATTGGCAGATGATGCTCTAATGAGAACAATAACGCACCCACCCTACCGCCTTTGATCACTTATGTGCTCTTTTGCAGCTTGTGAAAGGCTCTAAAAGCTTTCACCAGACAGGTTGTTTGATTTTTAAGGAGTGTCACTAGCGCTGTTCACCCCAGGCAGGCAGAAGCCTGTTTTTGCACTGTGTGGTTGCTGGGACAATTGACATCAGCTAAGTGGCCAATATGTAGTTTGACCCAAGAAATGCCGGGTTCCGGCCATTTGCCAGCAATTTCAACAGCAGAAGCTGCCTCAAACCAGCGTATCTGAACTTAGTGCTTCAGCGAGCTGCTTAATGGGTTGTATGCTGGGGTGCAGTCAGTGGGCACCAAATGTGCTGTGCCATTTCACATCAGCTGGTGGTCAGCAATACTATTGCATGATGGTGCTGATGGTCAGCAATTGCACATATACTGGTACTAACTATATTCTTATGACAAAGTGATCTGTGTTCTTGACCCTTTTCCTTTATTCTGAGCTACCCATGCAAGGAACAGAGTTGCACTGAATTTGCACAGAATGGACTGTGACAATCGTTTCCGCTTGTGCACTCCTAGCTACAGTCCCATGACCATCTTTGCTCTCACTGAAAATTACTTGGCAACACAGATGAGCTCCCGTGGGAAGTCACCAGGACGTGATTAAAGTTACCCACAAAACAGATGTTTCTTTGGAAGAAAAGTATTGTAATCAATCTGTAAACTCAGAGCAGTTAAAATGGAGGCTGGAAACAACAACCAAAAAATGCTGAATACATCTTATCTTACCATTTGGCTTGCTGTTTCCCATGCATTCTTCTTGCACCAGCCACCTCATCCTGCAGCATCTCAGTCTGAGTGACTGAACTGACAGGTGATCTTTTGTGACTTTCTGCATACCTTTGTCTACTTCAGCACCTAAATCAATGGTCTCTGGTTATTTATGCATCTTTATCTGAAGGAGAATCGACTCCATTTTAATTGCATATGAACGGGATGATAATAAAGCACTAATTGTTTTTTCTGCCCATGAACTGATCTGTTATCTAGTTGAATTTGCCCTTGATGATCTCATAACAATGGCAAAATTGCAAACAAGTACACACAGGCCTGCTGCTTGCATTAGAAGAATCCAGGTATCTCTCTCATTTTTCACAGGCTACTCGGTGTCTTTTCATTTCAGCAGCTACACAGCATCACTGATGTGTAACTGCTCAGCAGATATGCAAATACTGCGTATCCTGTATACTGGCTATCCCTATATGTGAGGTTAAGTGAGGTTTCCGTTGGGAGAGAGTGCGTTGTCCTTTTTGTGGAAATGAAATCTTTGTTCTCATTGATTAAACAAGCAAGGAATGGCCCACACAGAGGAACCCTGAGTTCACAATACCCTTCTAAAATGCAGAGCTGGTGAAACATATATCCGTCATCCATTGCTTTCTGTGTCTTATAGCGTACCTACTGCTGTGATAACTGAGCACCTGTCAAGATACTATATTGCTAGTCATGGAAATGGAAGTCATCTCAGATTTATCAACAAAGAAGCTGACATTGCTGTCTGGCAAGTTTCTCAGCTTTTGTGCCTCAACCTTGACCCTCAAGGATCTACTTCTCAAGGCAAGAAAGCAGCCAATTCTCCTCACGGATTTAATCACCATTTCCTCTGCTATGGGTTCTGATTCATGAGGTGGTAGAGATCTCCTTAACCAAACAAGATCACCTGGAAGTAGTCACTGCTACAGGACATAGAGCACACACATGCCACAAGCTGATTTTGGAATCCCAGGACCCAGTAATACCCACAGTGAAGTGGAAATCTGCCCCTTACTTGAGACCACAAGTGGATCACTGATGCCAGTGGGCACCTTTCAGACATCAAGGCTCTGGCTGTATTTGAACTGCAAGACATTTTTTATACCCTCATTGACCTTTGAGCTCACAAAGGATGCTCAAAATCTTACAAAAAAGCCACGCTCCAAAGTGATCAAGTGATATTAGGTTGTGTCTCAAAAACCACTAGAGGTGAGTGCTCAAAGATTCCTGTCTCTTAATACTGAATTGCTCCATTATAACTACCAGTAAAAACAAGTGTGGTTTGTCCTGTGCGTTGCTGTCTTTCTCAGTTAACGCTTTTCACAGAAGTCCAAGTTTAAGTTCTCTCCCTTTCTTTTTCCAGGTTCCCTCTATTTCCCAGAAGGTGTCCCAGAGCTGGAGCCAATTCAGCTGCCAAGATGCTGCCTATCTCACCTGCTGATTGCAATTAGCCACTGCCAGCTGGGACCTGGTGTGCCATTGAAGAGCTAACAAGAAGCAGAGACCAGCATGATGCCTCGACAGCACATACACAGTGAATAAATAAGAAATGCTGCACTGTATTCCTGAAGTTACTTCCTATGCAACTTCAATTGCTTCCTAAGCAATTCCTATGTCCCAACATGCATGTCAGGGGTTCAGCTTGCTTCTCGTGCTCTTACCTCATGCTGTCACATACTTGCCAGAAAGGAAACATGGGCAATAAAGGTTACTGATGGTAAAAACAAATCCAGCTGTGGTCTTGTTAAGAAATCTTTTGGCTCATCTCCATCCTCAGGCAGCACCCATCATCACAGGGGAGAGGTCACTTCTGATTATGGTGGTAGCCTAAATTGAGAGGAGGGATTTTGTCCTCCTGGGGCACTGCTCAGCACTTGCTTCCTCATCTGGATCTCTGGAGCTCTGAAGGGGATGGTGATGCTTCTCCCCCCTTTGGGGCCCAGCCTCAGAACCAGGGTGTTGCAAATTTCCTCCATAATGAAATTCTGCACATTTCAAGTACTAATCTGAGAGGTTCCAGGAGATTTGCTGCCAGGCAGGCTCCAAAACAGAAAGATATCTTCAGGCTTTGCTTTAGGCCAACATGCCCTGGCTTAATCCGGGCCCTGAGTGATAGGGACAGGTGTCCTCTGTCCAGCTTCCTGTCCTATCTCCCAACACAACAACCCTAATGCTTCTGTCTTATGCTCAGAAAAGCACTGAATTTGCAATATTTCAAAAGGATTATGGATTTGGGATGCTGTATTTTTGAATAATGACAATGACATCTGCCCATGGAGCCTTGCTAGATTTTATAGCCATAATAAGCCTTTCCAGCTTAACCTCTCCATATGAGATACCTCTAGATAAAGCATGTCAAGAGCACGAGACCATTTTCCTTTCCAATTTACCCTCTTTGGGGATTCCTTCCTGACACAAGTGCTATATGAACTTATTGGGATTAGCTCACACTTACTGCAGCAAAAAGAGATGGCACTGTCATGGGGAGCATCCAGCCAGGATCAAAGACTTCTTATACAGTGAAGGAGAGCCCTCATTGGTCCTTGTCGTGTGACGGTTTTTTTTCTGTGTGGTGTAAGAAAAATATGATCCCACTTTCTGACTACGGATGCAGAGGATTCAGGTTGCTTTTGACTTCTTTGAGATGTTGTGCTCCACTTAAGCACATGATCTGACTGTGTCCAGCGAATGTCTGCATCCCATCCTTTCAGGATGACACACACACAACCAAAATCATTCAATGAAAAAAGAGTTAAAAGTTACAGAGGCCTGTTGTAATGTAAAGGACACAGCTGTGGAAAAAAATTATCACAGAAAGGTTGGCTAATGAGCACATGCTATGCATGGAAAAAGCCAGGCTATAACTTTAATAGAATCCTGGAATATCCTGAGTTGGAAAGGACCCACAAGGATCATCCTGTCCAACTGCTGGCTCCTCACAGGACCACCTGTGAATCAAACCATAGTTCTGAGAGCTTCCTCTAGGTCTGTAGAAGAGTGTCCAAGCTCACTAGGTCTAGAGGAATTCCTTGAAAGAGTAAGCTATGCTACTGCCTAGCTTACACAGTTAGGTTTATAGATGGAGTCTGGAAGTTTTCACAGTACTTACAGTCTGGCCTTTGCCTATTGGCAAAAGCGTGCTGAACTCATGTTAGGTCTGTGGCACAGCTCTTTACCATCTGATTTTATCTGGAAAGGTTGCCACAATATCTTTATTCTGGTGGCTATGGAAAACATGATTGAGATCATTCAGCAAGTCAAATATTTTACTGATGAGTTCTACGTTTTTCAGGATTGGTTCCCAGGGAAATTACAGAGGGGTTTGGATCCCTATCAATTTCAAGCACAAAAGGATAGTAAAAAAGACCACTCTCCCCTCTCACTCGGCCATTCAGCACTTTGGAATGTGCTGTGAAGTTATTTGCCCTGTCAGCCTTACAAGAGAGGCATCCATTAGTCAACTTCTTTGCCAGCTTTCCCTTCTGTGGGACAGGTTGCTGATGATGAGTCATAAGGACATTGATTTTAAAATTTGCTTTGAGCCCTAATTGCATTTCTAAGATGACATAGTGGCTCCCAGGGATCTACTGAGTTTTTAAATCTATAGTTGATGCTTCTTCTTCTGAGTTTAGTGCTACATAATGCACAAAATGTCCTGATAATTTTTTATTTTTATACTCATTGCTTTTTGGAAGTGGCATCTTACATCTGGAAAATTAGGTCAATATGAAAAAAAGCTTTTTTTATTCCAACTGTGGGTTTTGTTTAAAAAAAATCCCGTGTAGTGGTTCAGGTGGGTAAAACAATAACAATGCATTATAATTGAAGGTTAGTATCCAGATTAAGTGAACATCTGAGAGATTCCCATTGTGATTTGAGAGGCCGGCATTCTAAGCTGTTATAAATCCAAAATAATGGCTAAAATTATACAATTTATAATTGTATTCACTCCTATATATATAGGAGTGAAAATGAGATACACAGTCTAGTCACCTGGACTGTGGAATGATAGACATATCTTGCAGTCCATATTCACGTGGTTTGGTTGGATATCAGGGGAAGATTCTTCACAAGATGGCAGTGGACATGGAACAGCTGCCCAGGGCAGTGGGCACGGCCCTGAGTGCCATAATTCAAGGAGCATCTGGACAATGCCCTCAGATAGAGAATATCAGTTTGGGGTGGTCTGGTGTGGAGCCAGGAATTGGACTTGATGATCCTTAGGTCCCTTACAACTTGGGATATTCTATGATTCTAATGCTTCCTGCCTGTGCTATTATTAGTAGCAGTAGTATTATTATTACTGTTGTCACTTTTCTCAAGTTGGACTGTCCTTAAAGCACACTTTCCTTTGACTTCGTTTTGAATCTTTACCACGGGAGTGCCTGGGCAATAGGGGACACTTCGTCCCCTACAGCTGCCCAAGACTTCCTGGAGCCCTCTCAGTCTAGTAGCAGTCTGATAGAGGAGGAGTTGAGAGCCTCAGAAACACCTCGATGTCCATACTTTTGACCCTATGAGATGAGGATATTCTGAGTGAACATGAACATATTGAGTGGACATTGACTGAATTTCTGATTAAGAAAATACAGTATTTTACTTGTCTTCAGAAGTCATGAAGTCAGTAAGAAACTTTCTGCCTTGGTGCTGAGACCAAGGAAAACAAGTACTATGTCTTTAATGCCACAACAGTAAGAAATTTCACCTTCTAGCCTCACATTCAGCCATTTTCTTAGTAATTTGCTAGGTCAAAATAATAAAGTAAAAATCCTAAGGCATTGGTGAGGACAGCAAGAGACACGTAGACCGTGAAATTAAGAATAATATAAGAACCTGACAGGGTCTCTCTACTTTGTTATATTGCTGTTACCTGCTCCTCTTTTCCCTTATTTTTTCCATGTACTTCCAAGTATAAAGCTGGTGAGAAGTAGATTTAAAAGTGTGCAAAAGGATTACAAAATATCATTGTCATATAAGTAAATAGAAGAGAAGGGAAGGAAAAGGCAAAGAAAAAGAGGAGGAAAGGAAGGGAGGAAAGGAGGAAGGGAGGAAGGGAAAATCCTATTTCTATTTGTCAGTTTTTAGTACTATTTTGAACACAGTCAAAATGGTTCCTTCATCGTGACCTACCTGTGTGAACCAGGCTGGCTTAGGTGGTCTGAGTCTCACAGCATCCTGCTGGGGCATTGCTGACTACTTCTGACCCTGGCAGGCAAGAATCCCACAGGGCAGGTTCTCTCTTCAGGTAAGCAGGAAAGGGGCATTTTATGAGGGATGTTAAACGTGCTTGAATCCACTGCCCTGTTTGGGTGGCAGTGAATCTTGGTTCCTTGTTGTAGAGCTTTTAAGATTTAAAGTGCTACATAAATGGTAAGTATTGTATTCCCGAGACTAAACAAGGAGGCAATCCTTTTTATCCTACAACTGTAAGGTCAAGGTAAATGTGACTGTTTAGAAACACTACAGAGCTGAAGGCCCTGGGGAATTTTAATGTGTTTTATAAACTTGTTTCCAAACCAAGCTATTAGGAAAACAAGATATTTCTCCATAAAGCCTTTCTTTTTGTCTCTTTAGGGACAGCACTGCCTGCCTTACAGTGCTTTAACTCAATCAGAATCATCATTTTTATAAACAGGCCATTTTTCATGACTTGCTTGATCAACTTGGGAAGGCAGTTTTTAAGAAGTTATAGTCATACACAGAAAAAAAAAATTATCTTACTACATGTATTGCAGCCAGAGATGTAATAGAAACCATGTCCTTTTTCTGAAGGTAAAGGCAAAAGGGAAAATACAGACTTATGCACTTGCTTTCCTCCACACTCAGCTTCTCTTATGCAACACTACCAAAAGGAACAAACGAGCTGTTTCACAATTAAACTTCAGAGATAGGGTTTTTTCTTTCTTTCTTTCTTTTTTTTTTTTCTTCCATACAGAAGTTAACAAGGTGTGATGCCAATATTTACCCATCGTTTTACCTGTATCAGGAAATTTGCAAGTGACAGCTTTGCAATATTCAGGCCGGGACAAAGCATGGCTCTGGGCAGCCAGAAACTGCGAGACACTTCTAAATGTTACAGAGCTGCAATGTGATTTCAAGCACTCTTGCTGGCCTCAGCAAAGCCGCACGTTTTCACATGCCAGAAGTGAGAGCTTCCCCTCTCCTTCCCTCTCCTCCCCAGGCATGTACTTCAGATATGTAAAATACTCAGCGAAATAAAGATTTCACATGGAATCTGAAAAACTTTTATTCTGAGTCAAAGTAGTGTCTGAGTAGTGCTGACAAGCGAGCTTAGAGTGATCCAAAGAAGAGGGAGTTTTGAGACACCGTTTTAAAGGAAATGCAGCACCACATACCCCACAGAAAGCAAACAGGGATAAGAGGAAATGTCTTCTTATCGGAGCATTAGCCTTATTCAAACATGCTCTATGAGGGCAGGAAAGGAGCTGCGTCTGCAGGTTTAGCTGCAAGCAGAATACCTTAGGCAGGTGTGTTACACTCCATAGGAATGGACTTTGCACTGCAACACGGATCTACATTCCTCCCTGCCTCACAGGAAGGCAGCACTGTCGTTCCCTCAAAAACTTATCTTGCCTGCAGAGCTTCCAGATGGAAAAAGCAGCTTCCTACTGGCAGCTGAAACTTTTCCAAAGTTTGACTGGGAAAAAAGAATGCACAGATGTGTAGGCCTTTCTTCCTTTCTAATCTGCA